TCATCAGAAGAAGCCAAACATTGAGCATATAAGGACTATTGGTTGTTTGTGTTTTGCAAAGAAAATGAATATACATGACAAGTTTGGAGCTAGGACAACAACAGTATTTCTGATGGAATATTCAGAAGTTACAAAAGGCTATGTTCTATATGATTTGTCTAAGCAATTTTCTTCATAAATAGAGATGTTGTCTTTAAGGAGTCCTTCTTTCCTTTCAAATTCAAGAAACAAGAGAAACAACCTATGTTCTTAGACATGGACATTCAAACACATGATGCAGCACCCTCTCTACCAGCCCATTCACTTATTCATTCACTAATTCTTAACACTGAAGAACAGACTGCCCTTAATGATGGTCCAAGAATAATTGATGATGGGGTAGACATGACTCTAGCAGATCACCAACAATTCAGTCAAGAGGAGACATAACAAATGACCAATGAAGTCCAAAGAGTGATGGAAATGGGCCTAGGAAGTCCACCAGAGACAAACGAGTGCCAGTTTGGATGACTGACTATGTGACTGCAGATGCACTAGATCAGTCAGATAAAACTTATTCTATTTGCAACCATGTTTTCTATGATAGATTGAAGCCAGCTTATCAACACTATTTGAGAGCCTTCTCAGCTATCACTAAACCACAGACTTTCCATGAAGCATCTAAATACAAGAGATGGGTTGAAGTCATGAAGGCAGAAATTCAAGCTCTAGAAGACAACAAGACATGAGAGTTGGTGACATTGCCAGTAGGAAAAGTTTCCATAGGTTGTAGATGGGTGTATAAGGTGAAGTACAAAGATAATAGGGATATTGAGAGGTTCAAAGCACGCTTGGTAGCTAAAGTATATAGCCAGAAAGAAGGTCTAAACTATAATGAAATATTTTTACCTGTGGTGAAAATGGTTATAGTTAGAGCTGTGATTTCTGTTGCAGCTACTGAAGGGTGGCATATATATTAAATGGATGTATATAATGCTTTTCTTCAAGGGGATCTCTATGATGAAGTATACATGAATCTACCTGAGGGATTTGTCAGCCAAGGGGAGAATGAAGGCAAGGTGTGTAGGCTAGTCAAATCCCTTTATGGGCTGAAACAAGCAAGCAGACAGTGGAATGTAAAACTTACTGAAGCACTGGTTAATTAAGGTTTTGTGCAAAGCTCCCTAGACTATTCTTTATTTACTAAGAAGTAGGACAGAAAAGTTGTAGTCATCCTAGTTTAATTATATGGATGACATGCTGATAACTGGTAATGATCTAACACTTATAGAAGAAACCAAGAAGCAACTGCATCATTCCTTCAAGCTGAAGGATTTGGGTGAGTTGAAGTATTTCTTGGGCATTGAGTTTTGTAGATCTCATAGAGGAATTATGATGAATCAGAGAAAATATAGTTTGGAGCTTATATCAGAAACGGGCTTAAGTGCAGCTAAGCCAAGTTGGACACCCTTGGATGCAACCAAAAACTTACAACTACTAAGCTGGATGAGGTTGCAGGATCAAACAATGATGAACTACTGGAAGATAAGGGAAAGTATCAGAGGTTGATTGGGAAGTTGCTATATCTCACATTGAGTAGGCTAGACATTGCTTTTGTTGTTCAGACACTTAGTCAGTTTATGCAAAATCCAAAGAAGTCACACTGGGAAGTAGCCATAAGAGTAGTTAAGTATGTAAAGTGGGAACCAGGATTGGGGATATTGATGAGCAACAATAAGAAGAACACATTGACTGCTTTTATGATGTTGATTGGGCATCTTGTCCAAATACAAGGAAGTCTGTAACAGGCTTTATTGTGAAACATGGAGATTCATTAGTTGCATGAAAATCAAAGAAGCAGAATACAATATCCAAAAATTCAGCAGAAGCAGAGTACAGGAGCATGGCTTCAGTGGTTTAAGAGTTAGTATGGTTAATAGGAGTTTTCAAGGAGTTGGGAGCAGAAGTAGAGTTGCCAATTTTGGTACATTGTGACAGTAAAGCTGCATTACAGATAGCAGCAAATCCTGTATATCATGAGAGGACAAAGCATATTGAAATAGATTGCCATTTCATTAGAGAGAAGATTCAAAAAGGGCGGATCAGAACAATGCACGTAGGGTCATTAAATCAACTTGCAGACATTCTTACAAAGGGGCTTGCAAGACAACAACATGAATTTTTGATGTCCAAGCTGGGAGTGCACAACATCTTTGCACCTACCGGCTTGAGGGGGAGTATTGTGACAACGGGAGGTTAGGCACGTGGAAATTATGTAATAGTTAGTTGTATAGTTTTAATTATAGTTAGGAAAGTTGTTAAGTTGGTAATGTGGGCTAGTTAGATGGTTAGTAGTGAGTTAGTTGTAAGTATAAATAGGATACACTGTACAGATTTTACTACATAATCAATGAGAATATCTGATTCTCCTTCTCTCTCGTTTTCTTCTCTAATGTCTTTCCTCCATTACTAATGCTTGAGACCTAGCTTGCATGGCGGTCTAGCACAGATTTGATCAAGGTGGGGTCAGGCTGACATGGACATGTAGTCAAAAATAATATAAATGGTTTGCCACCACCACTACCATAGAAAATACTCCATCCATTTCAATTTAGATGATATAGTTTGAATAAGTACAAAGTTTAAAGTAAAATAGAAGACTATTTACAATATGTGGTACTAAAAGTTTAAGGGGCAAAACTTTGTGGGGTCATGTCATTTGTGTGGCTATAAAAGCTTCTCATTAAGGATAAAGTGGTTTGAAATACTTAAAATTAAATTGTCTCCATATATAAAAATGTATCACTTTTTTTTTAAACGAACCAATAAGAAAAGTATGTCATTTAAATTGAAATTGAGAGAGTAGCGGATAACCTATGAAATAGTGGATGTGCACTAGTTCGCTCCAACACCTCTGTTAAAAAAAATTGTAGGTGGCGTTTGAATTTCTGACTTTCTGTATATGACGAGGTTCATCGCCCCATGTATAATTACATCATATTGCTTTAAGTCGTCCTAATATTTCTTCTCTTTCTAGAAAATTAGCAACCAATTAAAAAGAGAAAGAAGGTTTTTTGAAGTAGCCTAGAGATATAAAAATGTTATTGGCCATTGAGTTCAGCTCTTAGGCTCCCTTAAAACAAATGGGTTAGCTGTAGAATCAAATAGTGCCCTGAATTATAGCTGTATGTAAGTGTAGTAGACTCATTATTGGAGAGAGGTTGAAATAGGCATAAACTACGGTCAAATTAATACATTAATATCTCTTCTACATAATATATACACTGGATAACTTAGAGTTATTATCCTTTTCTTTTTTGTTTTAGATAAGATTAAAGAAGAGTGGCATAAATAGATTCTTTTGGCTGCATCTGGTGCTCCCCGCGAGGTAACAATTGACACTTATCCGGTGAAAACTATCAACATCATACGTACTGAATTCAACTCAACAACACTTTTAAAATTGGATTTACGTATAACAAGTTTTACCGTCATTATAATCTACCATGTGATAGTAATTAGTTTAAAGTAATTTGATTATATATGTATATATACTTTACAAAATTAATGCATAGAACAAAAGTACTTTTTTACTAATCAAACTTTGTTTTAGTCAGTCCAAAACACTAACACAAGGTCCCAACTTTAGTTACTATTGCAAATTACGAATTTGCTTTGCTAAACAGCAGTGATCCCTAGGATAATTTCTTTAATGTAGGTTGAATCAAGGAGCACCTTACATTGGGAAAAGTTCCACCTTATTTGATAAAATCACTTTAATTGGGTGGTCATGCACATAAAGTAATCTATCTAACTTTAATTGGGTGTTTGGCATTAATTAACATGCCACAACAAGTCATAAACACTGATTTGATGATATACAATAAAAGGCGAAGGCAATCATGTTTTATTACTACATCAAATCAAAGTGGTACCAAAAACTATTCATTTGAAATAATTATTTATACTTACCCCACATAGGATTCTCTTACAGTACATTTCCATTATCTGTTTGTCTTTTAATTACCAGTGAAGCATTACGAGGAGAAGTTGGAGTTGCCAATACAGAATTCAGGTGTTGTGGGGACATGTTAAAGTGGGACCTACAAAGACTAAAGACGCTATTTTTTATTTTTATTTGTAGAAGAATACTAGTGAAAGTACTTGCGAGCCAAGGAAAGCTACCCTTCTGTTTTATTTTATGACTTTTTTTTAGTTCGTTTAAAAGAGATACAGTACTTTTTATTTTATTTAATTATGACATAATTGTATTCTTATAAGAATATTACTGACATATTTAAAAATAATTTCTTATTTTCCTTTCTGAAATTCCAAAATGAGACGTACAGCTTAGTAGCAGTAAAAGAGATGATGACATAAGTCAATCAATTTGGTGAAGCATCGGTGCAGCATCTCTGAGCCGTGAAAAAGATTTTACCTTTGTTTAGATGTATTCGGCGACTTCTGTAATTTTCCTCGTTTTGCTTTTTTTCTATGCTTAAAATCCACGTGCGTCTGCTTGTTTATGTAGGAAAACGAGAGTTGAAAAACAAAGTAGCCAGGTGCAAAAACAAGAAAAGAAAAAAAAAATTAGGAGGGGTTGGACAGGAAGAAACTGAGAAATCCGAAATAAGACCATCAGGGAGCACAACCTAAATTTTCATATAGAATCAAGGAAAAACAAAGAGCAACAAGTCTTACTAATTGAAATGCAATTTTTGAACCAGTTTACATGTTAGAAACAAGGAAAACAGATACGTAGTACATTTTTTGAGATATAGTACCATTTTAAAACAGGGAAAACACAAGTAAAAGGTCTAGTAAATGAGATACATTTTTTGAACCAGTTTAGACGTAGAAAAAAGGAAAACAAAAAGCAAAAAGTTGTGCAAATTGAGATACAGATATATTTTGAAACAGTTCACACATATAAACAAGAAGAATAGAAAACAAATTAAAGAGCATTGCAAATTGAGATACAGATATATTTTGAAACAGTTCACACATATAAACAAGAAGAATAGAAAACAAATTAAAGAGCATTGCAAATTGAGATTCATTCCATACAAGAAAAGAGTTCATCTTCTCATTGAAGAAAAGAAGTACACACTAGACCTAGCTATTTTGAAGAAACCATATGTAGCTTGTATATTACATTATCATCATCAACTCAAACCTAACTCCTAACCTAATAAAACCTACCACAAACTCAAAAAAAAAAAGCAAAAAAATAAGCAAAAGGGCCACTCTTTTGTTCCATTTTGGTTTTGGCCCTTTACTAATACTCCACTTATTGTCTTAATTAGCTCTCTCCACATGGCGTATAAATACAGATTCAAGGTCAGGCGGATTAAAGAACTCCCTAACACTATTATAATGACACGTGGACTTTGGCCGGCGTTTCATCGGCGCCGGAGGGCATGGTAGTCTTTCCGGTATCCTTGAATCTCTCGCCGTCGGAGTTGTTGAACACTCTTCTTCATCTTCAGAATCCTCTCTTGGCTTCGTAGAAATTGACCTCAAAGGTGCTACAATTGTAATTCCAGCAATTACCCACTTTTTGCTCTCTTCTTTACTTCCTTCCACTTGGTGCTTCTTTGAAAATCCCATGTTTTAACAAACACCAAAATAACTAAAAAGACGCTAACTTTGTAAATAATTTTAAGAAAATTTGTGGGAACAAAGATAACTCTTCAAATCCTTGGAAACAAAGACTCTGTTATATGGAACATATCAAAGGAACCAAAAATATGGATTTTTGGCTGAAAGGAAGGAGGAATTAAGAGAACAAGAAGAAATGAACCAAAAAGGGTCTTTCTTGTTTTTAAAGATTCTAAGAATTTGTGCAGTCAAGAGGAGAGAAAAAAGGGGTGGAAATGAAAAGACTTTGAAATGAAAGAAAAGGGGGGAAAATAGGCGCTAAAA